GGATCTCACAACCTATTTATATGGTTTTAAAACTTTCTAAGAAAAATACAGTTCTGCTATAATTAATGCCTAATGGTATAAACACTTCTGCCTTCATGGTTGCCTAGTAACTACATACTGCAAGTGTGTGGGGTGGCTAAATAGCCTGAACAAGTGGGAAAGCTCAGATCCATTTCCAATTCAGATGGTCGAGGGGCAGCCGTGGGCCAGGTTCTTTTGTTAAAATCGTTTTTCTACAATGGCTCTGGGCTGAAACATCCTTGCATACCACAACTTGGCCTTGTAAGCAATTTCTGTAGGTACAAGTGTAAACCAGCAAATAATGACGGAAAAGAATTCAACAGAATGGAGCCATTTCTATCTGGATTTTCTGAACTAGTATCTAATAAAAGGACTGGATCAGGGTTTGATGTTCTTATCATTCCTTTATAGCTATATTTCTGTAAAATCTAGTATCTGAACTGGATGTGAAGCTTATGCCTGTAATCCTGGCTCTTGGGAGACTGAGGGAGGAGGATTGAGAGTTCAAAACCAGCCTGAGTTGGAGGCCAGTTTGAATAGCACAGTCAGACCCCATCTGAAAAGAAAAACAAACAACTACCCTCATAAATCCTGGTATTTGGATACCATCTTGGCAATTGAATGATCCCTAGATATAGATCCTAGTTAAAGATGGCATGATGACTCATCTTCGTTGTCAGCTTAACTACATCTGAAATCAGCTAAAACCCTAGTAGTTGGGTATGCCTATAAGGAACTCCCTTCCTTCCTTCCTTTCTTTCTTTCTTTCTTTTTTTTTTTTTTTTTTGATACAGGCTTTCTTTGTGTAAGAGCCTTGACTGTCCTGGAACTTGTTTTGTAGACCAAGTTGGCATCAAAATCATAGAGATCTTCCTGCCTCTTTGACCTGAATGCTGGGATTAAATGTGTGCTCCACCACACCTGGTGGGTGACTTTCTTGATTCAATCATTTGAGATAGGAAGACTCACCCTAAACCTAGGTCACACATTCTGGTTGTAGCTTGGGTAAAAGAACTTGGAAGAAGGGAGCTCTTGTTTTTTGCCTGCTTGTTCTTTCTCTTCCTGGCAAGTTCATCTAAGATCCTGTTGCTGAGGTATTCCTTTCCTGGTATTAGGATCCACTTTTTAGGGATTCCAATGTAGACTGAAGACTGGCAGCTCTCTTGGAATTCTCTGGAATCTCAAAGTCAGGTTGGGATTGTTGAGATATCCCTTTTTTATAGACTGAACAACTACCGGATCCTTTGCCTTACAATCTGGAGACAGTCATTGTTAGACTAAGTGGACCACAACCTACAGCAAACCACTCTAATAAATTCCCTTTGTGTGTGTGTGTGTGTGTGTGTGTGTGTGTGTGTGTGTGTGTGTGTGTGTGTGATTCATTCTGTTAGTTTGGTTCCGTTAGGGAACCCTAACTTATATAGATTGTATTAAAAAAGGTTAAGGGTGGTTGCAATTTACATTTAGCTTTGACTTGCTTCTTATGTAGCAGATTTAATGTCATAATTAAATTTTGCTTTAGCTTAGGTAAAATTAGCTTGCATTCCCTTGGCACACACCAACTACAGTTGGTAAGAAGGCCATCCAAATCCATGCAAATCCATAGGTTGTTGACAAGAATGGCTAACTAGATTCAAATTAAATTTCCTGAACCAAAGCCACGAAGAGCCTCCAGCACATGAAGATAATGACAAGTTATCTATGAAGGAATGTAGTTAGGTCATATGAAAGCCCATTTCTGGCAATGTCTTGATTTCAAAACCATGTGTTAGATAGGGTGCTGGGAGCTAGTCCTCATTCTTTCTCTTAGAATTCCTGAAGTCAAGATTTGGGGCTCCCTAGGTTGGTCACTTCATGCAGACAGGAATAAACAGGAGGGACCACTTAAATTGTATAACCATAGTCTTTGGTGCATAGTCAGAAATGATTTGTTACTCCGTAATTTTGTTATTTGGCAAAGCTAAGATATGACAGCATATGGTTTGCTCTCTGGGATTATCATAAATGTTGTCATTTGACTGAAGTAGAGGATTCTCTTCCATGGGGCTGGCTTTATGCTATTCATAGGTTTCTTTATGTTTTCACATGGAAGGAAACCTCCCCTTGCATTATGATGTGGAACTCTCTGGTTTCTTGCCTGTGTGGATTGGAGGAGACATCTGGTGAGGCCAGGGACAGGGTTTAATCAGAAAAATCACTTGGTTTCCCAACCACTGTCTCCATTCCTAGCCTCAACAACTCATTTCTCTGAACTTAAAAAGAGACCTTTAGAGAGTATCCTATAGCTCAACACAAACACCTCTTTCCCACAGTTTGGAAAACAATGAGCCTCTGATTCCTTTGTGAGGAAGACATCATCATGATGTATTCAAAGTAAAACTTCATGTAAACTTTTTTCTTTCTGCAATATATTCTGTATCTCTCCTGCCATCTTAACACAGAAGAGAACCTATGGGTTAAGAATCTGATTCATTTCTAGTATAGGAATTTCCTCTTTCTCTTATACTTCCGGCTTCCTACTTCTACCCTGCCTTTTAGAAGTTTTCATTCTGGCCCTAGGATGTCCTTCAGGGTTATTATTTAGCTGTTTAATGATAATAATGTTAAAGGCTTATGTTCTAGAGTCAACAAATTACTGTCCTTTCACATCTGTTTGCTTTAACTGCAATAGAGACAGTCTTTGTGCAGAAAGAGTTAATTTACAATAGCAGTGGAAGCTAATTCTCAGGACAGAATTTAAAGCAAGTGTTCTCCAGTACAAGGCTGCTATAGGCCAGGCCACTGGTGTGAGAGTTAACCCCTCCTCTGCTGCAAGCAGCCCTAGGATCCTCAGCCAGTTCTCAGGGGTGGCAATTTTAAGGCAGTAGCAAAAGTCTTGAATTCTCTTTCTCATGTCCTGGGTTTTAGCAGTTAAAACATGCTGTACTATGGTTTTTATACCTGTGTGTTTTTCATTTGCACACATACACATAAGTAAGAGGCCAAAAATCATTCAAGAATAACTACTTTTCTGATATGAATCTGTTTGGGTTTTATTTAGAAACAAAACTATTTCTTTCCAATGGTGTAGTTGCAATTTAATGTTATTATAAAATACCTTCAAATAAATGAGGCATTTAAAATTGAACTGCATGTCTAAGTGCATAAGACCTGCTTCCCAGAAATAAGGGATTTTAGACACCTTGTTCCTAATTCCTAAATTAAATATATTATTTTATCCTTGTGTGTCTCCCTAGGAGTGTGCCAGCTAATTTTTCAAGCAATAATTCATCATTGGTATGAAAAAAATTGATGACCCAGTAGTGTGCAAAAATGAGTTTTAAAAAGAATAATCCCAGCACTTGGGAGGCAGAGGCAGGCAGATCTCTGTGAGTTCGTGGCCAGCCTGGTCTACAAGAGCTAGTTCCAGGACAGCCTCCAAAGCCACAGAGAAACCATGTCTTGAAAAACCAAAAAAAAAAAAAAAAAAAAAAAAAGAATAAGAAAAATCCTAGCTTGTAATTTTAATTATTTACTATGAATTCAAAATCTTTTACTGTCAAAACTTTTATCTTACAAGAAATCTAGAGTGTCTCAGATTGAGCAATTTCAGGAGACTGGTGTTCTGAACAAGAGTACAAACCTAGCTTCAGCACCTGAGTGAATCCACAGAGAGTAAACAGGATGACCTCTATCTGCTTCTGAAAATCTGACCCTCAACCTCAGAGTTCCAGGGGAAAGTTTCCTTGACCTCTCTTTTGAGAGCGAACTTTCTAGATTTTGTTGACCAGTTCCTTTCAGTGTCTTTATAGAAAAGGTTTTCTTTGATGTGTCATACTCGGGTCCAGTTTGGAAAGCTGAGCAGTTAAGGTGTCAGAACTTCTCCTTAGGAGCAAGCTGTTTTGTTTTGCTTCGGTTTTTTTTTTTTTTTTTTTTTTTAAGGCTTTGATCTGTGCACTTGAACTGAACATTCCAGTCATTCATCTTCCAGAATTTCGAGTGTGGGATTGGGCTGTCAGTTGATTTGACGGATTTGACGTCACGGAGACACAGTTTGAATGCCTCCATTTGATTTTGTGCTTTCAACACATCTTCAGGGACCTGGAACTTTGGGGACGTCTTTACCATATGGTCTCAATAAGGTGATAGATTTTCAGATTCTGGGAGTTGGCAGGGCAGGGTAAGAACTGAATTAGAGGCAGGATGGGGAAGTTAAGTGCCTTGGCCTAACTCATTCATGCAAACTCCCCAGCTATGCATTTCCAATAGACCATTTTGCCAAAGATTTGTGTGTGTAGCCTTGTGTCCTCACCTGCACAGAGAAGTTGCTGTTCTCTCAAAAGTATTAAGATATCCACTGATACTTGGCAGTTTTTCTGGAAGGGCCTTGGGCTTGGGGTCAGGGGTCTCCACCTTCCTTGAAAAGAGAATGGAACAGAAAGGCTGAAGGGTGCTTAAAAACAGCAAGGCACAGACTTTCAGCCAAAAGTTGATGGTATTAGAGAGGATGAGTATCGAAGATGCGATTAAAAAAAAAAAAGCTGCGTGTATATAAATCAAGAGGATAGGAATGTCCAGGAGATAAGGGCTGGGTAATTTTAAGAAAGGCACCTCGATGGAGCTAGTCGAAGTGAGGGATGGCTCCTTGATCTTAGATCTTAGATTTAGCATCCAGGAGCCCGGCAGCCAGTTCGGTTTGTGTTCTGCGACCTGAGTCAAGAGTTTGTCAGCCTATCACCTCCCGAGAGGAAGCTTATTATTATTATTATTTTTCATCCCGGGGTATCTGTCTCCCTAATACCAGCGCAAGGCCACACGGCTCGCTTTCTGGTTCTTGGCCCCCTGGGAGCTGCAGCTGCTGGCGAGCGGGTGGGCGGGGCGCCGGCGTCTCCAGCGCGCAGAGGGTTAAGCGGCAGGGGCGGCGCGGGGAGGCGGGAGGCGGGAGGGGGCGGCCGGGCTCCGGGGCTGAGAGCGCGGCGGCCGCAGCCAGCAGCGGGTTAAGCGCCGCCCGCTCGTCCGCCCGCCCGCGCCGAGAGCTGAGCCCCGCCGCCGCTCCGAGCTCGCATTCGGATCCGCTAGAGCAGGAAGATGGCGACGGACGGCGCGAGCTGCGAGCCCGACTTGTCCCGCGGCCCGGACGACCCGGCGGGGGCCACGGCGGAGGCCGCGGTAACCGAGTTCCCTGGGCTCCAGGAGCGGTGTAGACGCGGGCTGGGGGTGGTGCCCCGGTCCCCGCCGGACACTCCCCGAGGGATGCCCGGTGCTTCCCTGGAGTGCCCCCTTACTTCCTCGGGGTTCCGTTTCCTTCCCCGAGGTGTTCCTTCCCAGCGGTTTCCCCTGCCTTCTCGGGGGTACCCCCTCCCTGGTGTGCCTCTTCCCCTGGACACCCCTTCCTTCCCTTGGGGTGTGCCCTTTGAATGCCCCTTCCCCGGGGTGCCCCCAAGGCCAGAAGCGGGCTCCAGTGAGGCGACACTACCCCCGCCGCCCCCGAGGTGCTAGGGGCCCGTCGGTCGGTCCTTCTGGAGCTCCCCGCTTGCGTCCTTGGTGACCCCTTTGCCCACTCCTGGGGTGCTCACAGAGGATCTCAACCCCCATTGTTCAGCTCCGCCAGGCGCCGAGCAAATGCTAGTCTCGGGGTGCCTGACACCTCTTGGGAGACCTGGGGAAGCAGTGAGGGGAAGGCGAGCCGTCGCCAGGCAGGTGTAGAGATGCTCTTTGTGTGTGGGGGTTCGTGTGTCCTGGGGGCGGCCGGTGGGAGAGGCTCCTTGCTGCTGCAACTGAGCTCCAGCACCTTGGGTCCTAGCTGCCTGCTGCTCAGTCATCGGTAGGGACCTCCTTCCCTAGGCGAAGTGGCACGGAGCTGGGGTTTCTGAACCTGGTGCCAACACATTGTTCCCCTTCCCTAGCGTCCTCACTTGCTTAGGCGCCTACCTGCTCCCTTTTTTGGTACTCTGAGTGTCTGCACGCACAGACACTCCCCGGTAGTTTCCACTCCCTCTCTGCCCTGCTTGGGGGTCTCAACCCAAAAAAAGCCAGGTTGGCAAACATTAGCAGGTCTGGGAAACCGCTTTTGGGGAAATAGCTTTTGCTAGAGCTGCAAAGATCTGCAAAGAAAGGCAGGTCTAGGAGCGCCTCCCAGCCTTGGCCACATCCCGCAGCTCTCTCGGAAGATTCCGAGTGGGACCGAGAGAGCTGGGCTTGGCATGGACGCCCCCGTCGTCCGTCCGTGTCTCTCATCTCCAGATCCCAGACCGGGTTCGGGCAGCAAAGGGCAGGACTAGGTGTAAACAACCTGGGGTGTTTAATTTCCACCCACCTCTGGAGGTAGGGCTTGCTGGAAGGAGAAGGAAGAGGTGTGGAGGAGGGTACTTAGGGGCTAGAGCTGTGTAAGGAGAATGGGAGGGGTCAGGTACCAATTCCCATTGGTGAAAATAGAAGACTCTGGGCTAAAGCTTTTGGGGAAATTGCGTTCCCTTTTGCTAATAAGAACTTTAAAGACATTTCAAATGAAACCTTTCCACTTGCGAATTACTTTCATTCTGGGGAGAGGGGGGGACAACGAAGAAAGTGCCTGTCAAAGCAAAAGTCCCCCTGGGAAGCTGAAATTCTTGAGTGTCCTGTTCTCCATGAGGGGCAAAGTGGGGGTACACGCTTCTTCTCCCCCAGGAGGACGAATAGTTTGTTTAATCTACTTAGTACACTGCTTTGTGCCCACACGATGTTTCGGCCACCAGACAAACCAACACAAGCCTGCGGCTCATGATGTGTGATATATAGGATTGTAAACAAAATTGCATTGTCAGGAATACTTCTGTGCCAACAAGGTCAGTGTTCCTGTCGGCTGTTTAAAAATGTCAGGAGCCGGATTCAAAGGCTGCTAAGTTGGCAGCTTGATTGTTCTGCTCTGGTGAGGGAGAATAGCCAGGCAAAATCTCTGGGACTGGGACCTCCTCCATTAGTCCCAAGGGATCCCTTAGGCTTCAAACCTGCAGTAGCAGTGCTAAGGTATTTAAAGTAACTCTCTCTTTTTATTCAGTAAAGCTGGACTTTATTTTTTTACAAGTAGTTGGACTTGAAAAGGGGACTTTACATTAGCTACTTGAGTAAACTGGCATTTATTTGTTTGTTTGTTTATTATTTTGAGGATCACATGTAGCTAAAGTTTATCACAAACTCATGGTTTCCTATCTCTCTGCCTCCTGAAGGCTGGGGTTCGTGGCCCTTACCACCACCCTGCCTGGCTTTGACTTATTATTATTAAAGAAAAGAGCTTGTTAGGGAAACCCTGTTTGCCATACTTGTTTTTCATCTAATGGTTAAAAATTAAAGCTATGGTTTGCCAACAAAAGACTTAATATATATTTTTAATTATAGTGAGGAATTCTCTTTTTGCCTTGTAGAGATTTATTTCATTTCAAATTGGTTTACATCTTGTGGAATTTTATATATACATTTGGCAGAATCACACTAGTGAAGCCTCCAAAGCAGTTGGCTATTTTTGAACGTGCATATTTGTAGAGGTCTTTTTTTTTTAATTCTATTTAGATTGTTGCTTAGGAACTGGTTTAATTTATAGTTTGCAGTTTAATATAATTTCCAGTGGAGTGTTTTAAATTTAGTTTGTTATCTTTGTTCTTCACTGTTTAAATCCTGAAAGCACCTCGAGTATAAAGCTGGCTAACAGCTACATTATTCAATAGGATCATATTAATAGTCTACTCTGTGATCCATGCCGGGAGCCTGGGTTATTTTCAGTGCTTAGCCAAATGGGATGACTTTTATAGGCCTTATTGCTATTTCTGCTCAGAATACAACTCTTATGGTAGGCAGTATGGAAAACAGAAATCTGCTTTTTATTTTCACTGGAATTTGGGAGTGAGAAGAAAATGGAGATCCACCTAGAGTTGTATTTGGGGAGGCAACTAGCATTGTGTTCACTCTGGGCTTTTGGGATTTGCTAATATGCAAAGTGTAGGTATAGATTTGGCTGTGAGCGTGTAAACCTTTGTTTCCATTAAAAATTGTACATTGCTGTTAAATTTGATAACTGGCACCTGGAAAATTTTATTTTCTAGGTAACAGTATTGAATGTAAACACAATAAAAAAAGGTTCTTAGCCCATTTTGGTTTTGATACTGAACAAAATGAAATTGTAGTGATATAGTAGCTGTGGAATATTTAAGGTTTGATAGAATAATTTTAAGAGGGAGTAACATTGTCTCAACCCACATCATCCATCAGTTTGAAGATGCTAGCGTCATGGGTAGCATCTTTACTGCCCTTAACCCCTTAAAGCATGACTATAGTAGACTCTGCAGGACACTGAGGAGTCAAGTCATGACAGGCACAAATAATGTGGAGAAAAGTTGTGGGAAGAACAGTCAGAGAGAGGGTTCCTAGTGGAAGGTTCTGGAAATGTTTTCCGGAAGGGGCTAGAAATATTCCATAGTGGAGGACATTTGCACTGGGCCTTCAGAAAGAGGTTATGAACAGACATGGCAGGAAATGGTATGCACCCACAGCTGGTTCTTGAGGCTCCTTCACAGATGTCCTATGTCAATGATTCTCAAAGATGCAATGACACCATCTTGGTTATAATTTTTAGAAAATACATTAGATTTTTCTCGATCTTTGAAAGATTAGAATAGGGGTGTTTTGCACACTCTTTGTAAACGACTGCTTGCATGTTTCTGTTTGTACCTGTTGTGTTTATTTTTATTGCTATCGGCTGCTCTTGTCAAATTTGTCATAGGAGCAATTTTTGTGTTAAGAAAAGCTTTTTCCCCATTTGTGGTTTAATCCATACCAAAGCTAAATAACCACTTGGTTCTATTATCACATGTTTCCCATAAGTTTAAACATTGAGAAAGCATTTTTTACAGCATCAGTTCTGCATCAGCAGCAACCGATATCAGCTGTTGATCATGTGACCATCAAGGTTGAAGCCTGGAGAGAGCAGAACCCATCAAGGAGAGTTGTATGAACAGATTTGTTAAACGAGGCTCATTAGAAGCTGTTAGAACACTTAATATTAATCAGCTGATTGGAAAATACACTCTGCGTTACAAGATTATAACGCAGCTGTTGGTCTGTGGTTTGTAACTTAACACTGCAGACATTTCAAGCCTTGAATCAACAGACTGCCTTTCTTCCATGCTTCTTGGTAGGTGCTGAGGTTTGGACATGGTGGACAAGCGCTCTATCACTGAGTTGCACCCTTACCCTTTGAAGTTCCATTTTTAAACATCTGTTTCTTACTATATGGTGGAAGAATGGTACACATGCCACAGCTCAGGTGTGGAGGTCATAGGACGATCCTGTGGAGTTGGCTCTCTCCTTCCATCTCTGTGTGGAATCTGGGGATCAAAGACATGCCATCAAGCTTCTGAGGCGAGTGCCTCTATCTGCCAAACCCAGTTTTCATTTCTGTGTTTCCCTTTTCTAAACTGCTTTCCTCAGTGACATATCAATGCTTTCCAGATTTCTGTTTTCAGAATTTGATCTTCAACATTGTTAGTCTTCTTTTCAGCTCCCTATCTCACTCTGATGACTGAGACCAGAGATGGAAGTGTCACAAGATGGCGACCATGCAACTCCCTTCCAGAAAGTTTCCAACATTAAAGTCAAAGCCATGTCACTCGTTAGGATGTGGAGGAGGGGATGCTTGACAGGATCTGAGAAAAATTCTGAAAGGTTTGGGCACAGGAAAAGATTGGGCTGAAAGGAGGAGATCAGACAAGGCTTTGGAATAGTGAACATGGACATGGGATTAGAGTTCAGCTTTAAAAGTGCTTCCCTGGGGTGGAGCCATTTCTCTGCTCAGGACTCATAGGTCGGTCCTGCTAACTCAGCTCATTTGAAAAAGAGACGTTATTTGAAGATGCATGATTAGATCTCTCTACTGATTCCAGGTTACAAGGCTTACATAACATAAAAAAAAAGAAGAATCATGTCTTGGGCTTGAGTGATACTGTAGTCAATGATGTGCTTGAAAATTGCTCAAGAAAGCCCAGCATCAGACCAGTGCTACACTTGTCTCTACAAACAAGGAGCCAAGGAGTGACACCCACAGTTGGCCTTTGATCTCCAAACAGCTAGCCTTCTCTCTCTGTCTCTGTCTTTCTCTGTCTCTGTCTGTCTGTCTCTGTCTCTCTCTCTCTTTCTGTTTA